TGCAGCTGGAATAAATCCAGCAAATCCTGCAGCTGGAACTGCAGCTGGAATAAAACCAGCAAACCTACAGCTGGAATAAAACCAGGAGGGGCTGCAGCTGGAATAAAACCAGGAGGGGCTGCAGCTGGAATAAATCCAGCAAATCCTGCAGCTGGAACTGCAGCTGGAATAAAAACAGAAACAGGAGGGGCTGCAGCTGGAATAAAACCAGGAGGGGCTGCAGCTGGAATAAAACCAGCACAACCTGCAGCTGGAATTAAACCAACAAATCCTGCATCTGGAATAAAAACAGGAGGGGCTGCAGCTGGAATAAAACCAGCAAACCTACAGCTGGAATAAAACCAGGAGGGGCTGCAGCTGGAATAAAGCCAGCAAAAATCCTGCAGCTGGAATAAAACCAGCACATCCTGCAGCTGGAATAAAAGCACAGTGTCTGCCCCAGAACCAGAGCCAGCTCTGTTTGTGTGCAGCTAAGAGAGGAGGGCACACAGATTTATTTCTGCTCTGTTTTCTTGGTGAGAGTGTCGCTTGCACAGGGACCTGGGCTGAGACTGAACTTTCTCACAAGTCACAGCAGAACTTTCTCCCCTTTTACCTTTTTAATCAGGCCAGGAGGAACCAAGGCACAAAACTCCTCACGGGAGCAGGATGAGAACTTGCACATCAGGTAAGCTGCTGCTGCAGTGCAAAACCTGGGAGGGAAAAGGAAAGAACTCCATTGTCTGGTGGGTTCAACCTCCTCCACAAGCTCTGGAAATGCTCCAGAACATCCATGGGGGAGCAGGCATGGAGGGGAGGCCCCACTCACCTCAAGCAGAAGACAAAGGATTCCTCTGTCCTGCACACCAGCAAGGAGCTCCAGAACTCTGAGACAGAAAGGGCCTTGCCAGGAGCAGCCTGAGAGGGCCCAAAATCGGCTTCCACTGCAGGAATTAAAGCTCTGCATTCACTCAAGTGGATCACAAAAGCTGCCAGTCCCAAAATGTGAGCGGCACCGAGGGTAGGACCCTGCGAGGCAAAAAACGTGAAGAGCAGGAAAGATATTTTTGGTAACTTTGTGGTAAAATTCTTACCTTTTGTCTCATTGTAACATTTTAAATTTTTTTTTATTTGACACTGTAATACTCCACCTGTATTATTGTAACATTTTGTAGCAAAACACCTTTCTGCAAAACCTTTTTTTGTACCAAACCACTTTTCTGAAAAACCTTTTTTTGTACCAAAACACCTTTCAGAAAATACTCAGACTTAGTGAAGGAGCAGAACATTGTTTCTGATCCCCAGCAGTGCAGCAAAAGTTGAGCAGATGAGAGACAACCCACAGCAGAACTGAAGGTTTCTGTAGTACAGCAACTTGAAATAATTCACTGTAAATTCAGGTTTGGGGATTCTCAAGGCTTTTTAGCCTCTCTGACAGCTAATTTCATCTATCAGCCTGTTGTTTTCACCCTTGCAATATCACAGGGCAAAGGAAATAAACCAAGCAATTCTTTAATAACAAACCCGGCACTGCTGCAGCCCAGGCAGGGGTATCTGAGTTTTATTTTTAAACTTTTACAACTGAATTATTCAACATGGAAGCTCAGGGGTGAAGCATTCTACCATTTTTCTTTTGTCTCTTCCCTAAACTTGCCTATTTTAGCTTCTGTTCAAATGTCTCAGAATGCATTAACCTTCCACAAGCAATATTTCTGTAGGGAAAAATTCTCCTCGTGTTCCTGAGGGCAGCTTCACACTCCCTGACAAAAGAGGGGATTTTGAAGATATTTATTTTTTGAAGGTATTTTTTGGGAGGGTTTTTTTTTTTTGAGGGGTAATTTTTTTTTGAGGGATGTTTTTGGAGGGGATTTTTTTTTGGAGGGGTATTTTTTTAGGGGTATTTTTTTGAGGGGTATTATTGTTTTGGAGGGGTATGATTTTATTGGAGGTTTTTTTTTGTAGGGGTGTTTTTTGGAGTTTTTTTTTTGTTTGAGGGGTATTTTTTTGGAGGGGTATTTATTGGAGGGGTATTTTTGGAAGGGTATTTTTTTAAAGGGTATTTTTTGAGGGGTATTTTTTGGAGGTTTTTTTAGGGGTATTTTTGGAGGGGTATTTTTTGGACTTTTTTTTGGAGGGGTATTTTTGGAGGGGTATTTTTTGACAGGCATTTTTTGGAGGTTTTTTTTTGGAGGGGTATTTTTTTAGGTTTTTTTTTTTGTGGAGTATTTTTTTGAGGTTTGTTTTGTTTTTTTGGGGGGAGTATTTTTTGGAGGGGTATTTTTTGGAGGGATATTTTTTGGATGGGTATTTTTTTGGAGGAGTATTTTTTTTGAGGGGTATTTTTATTGAGGGATATTTTTTCGAGGGGTATTTTTTTGGAGGTTTTTTTAGGGGTATTTTTTGGAGTTTTTTTTGGAGGGGTATTTTTGGAGGAGTATTTTTTGACAGGCATTTTTTGGAGGTTTTTTTTTGGAGGGGTATTTTTTTTAGAGTTTTTTTTTTGTGGAGTATTTTTTTGAGGTTTGTTTTGTTTTTTTTGGGGGGGAGTATTTTTTGGAGGGATATTTTTTGGATGGGTATTTTTTGGAGGAGTATTTTTTTTTGAGGGGTATTTTTATAGAGGGGTATTTTTTGAGGGGTATTTTTTAGATGGGGTATTTTTTTTGAGGGGTATTTTTGGAGGGGTATTTTTTGGAGGGGTATTTTTTTGAAGGGTTTTTTTGAGGGATATTTTTGGAGGTTTTTTTTGAGGAGTACTTTTTGTGGGTTTTTTTTTGTTTTTTTTTTCTTTTTTATGTTTTATTTTGTTTTGTTTTGGTTTTTTTGAGGGATATTTTTTGGAAGGGTATTTTTTTGGAGGAGTTTTTTTTTTTTTTGAGGGGTATTTTTTGAGTGGTATTTTTTTTGAGGGATATATTTTTGAGGGGTATTTTTTTGAGGTTTTTTTTGGATGGGGTATTTTTTTGGAGGGGTATTTTTGGAGGTTTTTTTTAGGGGTATTTTTTTGAGTTTTTTTTGGAGGGGTATTTTTTGACAGGCATTTTTTGACAGGCATTTTTTGGAGGTTTTTTTTGGAGGGGTATTTTTTTAGATTTTTTTTTTGTGGAGTATTTTTTTGAGGTTTGTTTTGGGTTTTTTTTGAGGAGTATTTTTTGGAGGGGTATTTTTTGGAGGGATATTTTTTGAAGGGTATTTTTTTTGGAGGAGTATTTTTTTTTGAGGGGTATTTTTATTGGGGGATGTTTTTTTGAGGGGTATATTTTTGGAGGGGTATTTTTGGAGGGTATTTTTGGAGGGGTATTTTTTTAGGGTTTTTTTTGTGGAGTATTTTTTTGAGGTTTGTTTTGTTTTTTTTGAGGAGTATTTTTTAGAGGGGTAGTTTTTGGAGGGATATTTTTTGAAGGGTATTTTTTTTGGAGGAGTATTTTTTTTTAGGGGTATTTTTATTGAGGGATTTTTTTTGAGGGGTATTTTTTGGATGGGGTATTTTTTTGGAATTTGGTATTTTTGGAGGGTTTTTTAGGGGTATTTTTGGAGGTTTGTTGGTTTTTTTTTTTGAGGAGTTTGTTTTTTTTTTTTGTGTTTTTTTGGGTTTTTTTTTGTTGTTTGTTTGTGTTTTTGTTTGTTTTTTTGTTTGTTTGTTTTTGTTTGTTTGTTTTTTGGTTGTTGTTTTGTTTTTGTTTTTGTTTTTGCTTTGGTTTTTTTGAGGGATATTTTTTGGAAGGGTATTTTTTTGGAGGAGTATTTATTTTTTTTGAGGGGTATTTTTTTGAGAGGTATTTTTTTTGAGGGATATTTTTTTTTGGAGGGCAGTGAAGTCCCCCCTCCCATCACATCACAACCCAGACAGATCCATCCCCCCAGGCCAGGAAATGGAGCAGGATGGAATTGTGCAGGATTGCTGGCTGCAGAGCTGACCTGGTGATAAAGGAGCTGGCAGAGCCTGGCCAGGAGTGCAGGCAGGAGATTCCTGTGTCCACACATCATCTTCACCAGCAGGGAGAGGCACGGGCCCTGCCTGCAGCACGGGAAACCACAAGCTCATTAAACCCATCCCCAGCACAGCAACAGCTAATTAAAGATGCTCAAACAGCCTGGAGCTGCTCCAGGCCTGTCTGTAAACACAGCACAATTATCATTCCACACAGGGCTCACAGCAAGGGCACTTTGGGGTACCTGGGCACAGAACCCTGCAGTGCCCTGCTCACACAAGGATGGCACTGTGGGCATCTCAAACCCTGCTGGCATCTCCCATGGCCACAGTGGCCTCTGAGGGGACAACAGGGACAGGAGGAGCTGCCTGGGGCTCAGCAATAAATGAGATCACAATACAAAGCAAGAAGGAATTGCTGTGACAAGGCCCTGATAAGAAAAACCCACCCTCAGAGCAGGCCAGGTGGGAGCTGTGCTCAGACACCATTTCCTGGGACTGTGTTTGTCACAGGGAGTTCTCAGCCAGGCTTTGAGCAGTGATTCATCCCCTCCAGGGCAGCACAGTGCCAGAGAGGAAAGGATGCCCTGGCTGCCCAGGCACAGGGAGGGCAGCTGGGAGCACAGCCAGCTCCTCAGCACGCCCTTGTTGCCCAACAAAGTGATTTTGCACTGACACGCTGCCCATGATGTTTACAGGCTCTGCTCCAGGAGGAGGAGGAGGAGGAGCTGAGCTGCAGCTCCAGGGCAGGCACTGCTGCCTCTGCTCCTCAGCCAGCCCAGAGCCCACCCAGAGCCCACCCAGAGCCCCCCAGCCCCTGCCAGGAGGGATTCCAGCACCAAAGGCATTGGCTCCCCTGCCATCCCCCAGCCAGAGCACCCAGCTCTGCTTTGGGGGTGTTCAAACCCTGGCACGGAGCACAGAGAGACCAAGGCCACTCTGCTGAAGGGATCTGTGACATCAGAGAAACTCGGTTTATTCACTGATGTGCCTCAGAGTGCCCTGGTTCTGGGAGTGCAGCCACTTCAGCCTGGCACTGTGACCAGCCAGGGTCCCCCCTCAGCCCTGCACAAGGGCTGGAATTCTGGTTATCACCCACTTTGGGTTCTCTACTCTTGGACTTACCTGTCAGGAGGGTTGAAAGAGGAAGCAGCCAGCAGGGTTTGGCAGAATGATGTCAGCAGGAGATCAACAACCTGCAATAAAAAGCACCAGGAATAAACCTGGAGTGAAACCCACACTGCTGATTCCTGCTTGCCAGGCTGCATGCCTGAGCCCAGCTTTCTGCTTTGTGGATATTACATTTCCTGACATGAAAACAAGGGAACAAACTGGTCAATGGGATTCACTCCAAGCTGTACAGATCTGTGAGGGTGCTCACAGGGGTCTCAGGTTGAGGGGAGAGATAAGGATCTGACTCCATGTTTCAGAAGGTTTGATTTATTATTTTATGATATATATTACATTAAACTGTACTAGAAGTATAGAAGAAAAAGTTTTCCTCAGAAGGCTGGCTAAGCTAAGAATATAAAGGAATGATAACAAAGGTTTGTGGCTCAGCTCTCTGTCTGAGCCAGCTGACTGTGATTGGCCATTAATTAGAAACATCCACATGAGACCAATCACAGATGCACCTGTTGCATTCCACAGCAGCAGATAATTGTTTGCATTTTGTCCCTGAGGCCTCTCAGCTTCTCAGGAGGAAAAATCCTAAGGAAAGGATTTCACATGAAAAGATGTCTGCGACACAGATCCACTAAGGATGGAAAGTGAAGCCCATAACAGCCCAGGAATGAGCCCAGCACACAACAAACACCCAGGCAAAGCTGCTGAAGAAAGGCTTTTAGAGAACATCCCCAGATCCCATCATCCAGCAACTGCCAGGTGGTTAAAACACAGGAACGGCCTGTGCAGGGAGAAGTGCATTTCCTGCAGACAAAGCAGCCTCTCCCACCTGCCGTGCAGATGCATTTCCCTGCCCAGCCCCACCCCGCAGCTGGAACTCACCCTCTGGGCACAGGGTGACAGCCCCGGGGCAGGCACGGCCACCCTGAGCCGGGCACTGCAAGGAGCAGCCTCGTTGTCCTCGCTGCTGTCCCCCAGGGCACCGCCGAGTCTGTCTGAAACCAGGGCCAGCTTTGCTGCCACCTCTGCGGGGACAGGGACACAGGAGAGCGGGTGTGAAACGTTCACAACCCCCCACAGCAGCAACAGCAAGCAAAATGTAAACTTTAATCAGTCAGAGTCAAAAGGATGTTAGGAAAAGCTTTAATAAGCAAAAGATGTTGGCTGGGACACAGTAGATCAGCATCCACAGGATTATTTTTTACCTATACAATTACTAACACACCCCAGGAGCAGTTTTCACACCAAAGGGGAAAATGCTTTCCACAGGGGGCCCAGCCACCAGGTGAGCCCCAGAATGGGGCAGCAGATTGGTGAGGTTATCACAAAGATAAGTCCCAGATGAGGCAGGAGTACACCAAATATTAACATGTACATATTCACAGCTGGAAGGATTATCAGCTCTGAAGGATTACCAGGTGTCAGTAACTCCTGCTGTGCCTTTGCCAGCACCAGCCACACTTTATTCAGGCACTTTTGGGACAGACAATGAGAATCACTGCCTCATACCTTCCCACGGAGCCTGCTGCACCACCAGGGTCCTGAGCTCAGCCAGCTCAGCCTCCAGCTGCTCCAAAGGCTCCTTGGGATGGCTGGGCTCTGCTTTGGAGGCATCTGGACAGGGAGGAGAGGAAATGCACTCAGCAATCTCTGCCTGCACTCTCTGCAGGAGCAGAATTTACTTTTACAAAACCCCAAACTGTCAGTCTGCCACACACAGAGCTTTGTTTTTACTCTCAGAATGTGCTATGTAATTAATCATTTATGGGTTTATGCCTAGTTGCAAAAAGGAATTTGGTTTTTAAAGACGAGAGGCAAAAAAGTTTTGTTTTCAGAGTTTTCTTGCCACTTCCTTTAGCTCTGCCCCCCACAGAAACATTTGCTGTCCTCAAGGCTGGGGTCAGAATGCACACAGACATTGCAGCATGGATTCAGCATCAGCTTCTCCAGATGTCCCATGCTACTCTGGCTTCTTGTTCAAGAGAAGGAATCAAAGGAAATTCCTTTTCCCACTAGGGAGAGATGCCAGCAGTGCCAGCCCCAGCCCCAAAACCTCCAGAGTTTGTTAGGCAGGAACAGCTCCTTGTCCAGGGGCCAGGAGTGAATCCCCAGCAGCAAGAACAGCAAATGGCCAAGGCTGACATTGACACTGGGAACCATCCCTGCACCCAGCCTGACCTTTGCATTGTGTGCAAACCCTGGAAGGTGAGTCTGAAGCCCTCACTTGCTGACAGGAACAGCACAGCTCATTAAATATCCTCATTAAATATCCTCATTAAATATCCTCATTAAATATCCTCATTAAATATCCTCATTAAGCATCCACAGCCCTGCCCAGTAAAGCTGCAGGGATGGGGCCCGGGCTCAGCTCCCACCCAAACATTGCAAAGCAGGAGCTGAATCCTTTCCCTGTCCCTCAGACCTCCCTAATCCCCTCTCAAAGAGGATGCCAGGGCAGCACAGGAGTCTCTGCACAGGGGATCCGCACAGCAATCCCCAGCCCAGGCTGCAGTGCTGATTCATGGAAAGGTCCTGGGGGTGGAATTCAGCCAGCTCAGGCTCAGGCAGCATCTGCAGCCTCAGCACAGCACAGGGCTCCCAGGCACTGCAAAAATCCCACCCAGCAGGGCTGGCAGAAAAAAGTCATTGCAGGAGTGAGAATTGGACAGCTCACTACAGCATTAACACCTATTTATATGGATTAAATACCTATTCAGCCATAAATCTTTGAAAATGTTCAATTCAGGAGGGCAGCAGTGGAAAAATTACCATTTCACATTGATCCATAAGTAAATGTTGCATTTTTTACCTTGTAACACCTTCTCTTTCATGGCATGACAGGCTTGCAGGTACGTGGAGTACAAGTTTGAGGGTATTTTGTCAGCTCTGTGAAAAAGAGGAGATTTATTACCCTGCATAACCACAAACTGCCTTTATTAAATAAGCACAAACAACAGCCCTTCTGTGAAATGTAATTAGAGGGACTCTGAAGCATAAAGAGCATCTGAAGCATTTTTAATCATCTGACATGAGGGGCAGAGATTTCTACCCAGAGTTTCAAAGCAAGAACTGCACACATGTAGCACACACAAACCCAGTACTGTATGTGTTATTAATTAATCTTTTCATGCCTGTTTCGTGTCTAGTTGATGTCTAGGATGCCATAAGAGTGTGGGCTGTGAGATGCAGCACTCACAGATGTAAAACACGAACGTGCTGAGACCAAGGTGTGACCTCTCCTTTGCAGGGCAGCATTTAGTGCTGAGGGCACGTCCCAGGAGGCTCCCCAGAACTCAGCTGCTTCCCTCCCCACTTTAATTTCACCAAATGATGCAGCCTTTAATTTCAGAGCCAGACTGGAATGACAAGGCAGGGCCCAGCACCTCATTTGCAGGCAGTGCTGCAAACATTCCTCCTTCATGAGAGGTTACAGAGGAACTACTGGATGTAAACTCGAGCTGCTCCTGCAGTGCAGGAAAGCACTTTGAACCATGCAGGCAGGGCAAGCTGGAGTCCTGAGAGGAGCTGTGTCCTCCTGGGGCATCACCCTGGACATTAGCAGACATTTCAGTCTCATCTTTCACTGCCCCCCTATCCCCTCCCAAAGAGCCTCTCACAGAGGGAGAATTCCTGGGGAAATTTTACATTCAGCCGTGTCCTTCAAGATTTGCATAAAAATGTACCTGGAGCCAGAGGGACTCCTAAATAATGATTTCACAGTGGCCAGAGGACTGATTGCACACCTGAAGACTGCACAGATAAACTCCTCCGTGCACAGCCTGCAAGCACCAAGCCCTGCCAAGAGGTTGGTTGTACCCAAGGTGTCAAAGCCTCTGATAATCTGATATCAAATGTCCCAAACAGAAAGCCCAGCAGCACAGAAAACAACGCTGGGATGTGTGAATACCTCTTCAGGGAGTCTATAAAAGCCATTCGTCCATCTGGGGTTTTGGGGAGCTGCAAGAGAGGAAAAGGCAGGGCAGGGGCAAATGATCTGTGTACAAACACAGAGCTGGTGGGAGGGGAGAGAAAAAAGCCAAATACTGACCACACGGGGCCTGAGCAGGGCTGGGAGGAACCAGGAAGTGTAATATGGTCGTCTGAAAATGCTGGGAAATAAACAGAGCAAAGTGTTAACCATGCCAAGGGTCCAAAGTGCCATCTCCCCACCTCAGGAGTTAATTTGGCTCCTGCAAATACAACATGCTCATGTGCATAACCACAGACAAACCAGGTTCAGATTAGTCAATGGTTTTTCATTTCTTTCATTTTGCTTTTTATTGTAATAATTTTGGCCTTCATTTGCACAGGGGAATGCGCCTTTTCACTCTCCCCACAAATATCCTCTAATAAGATGACTCCTCAGGATGTGGGAAGAGCTTCCCCAAACCTCCCTTGCTCACATCCTCAATTTTTCTTGTTTCCTTACTTTGATTCAGACTTGGCTTCTGCAATTATTGTTGTTATAATTATTATTGTTCCAGCTAAGCCCAGGGGGAGGTGAGAAGCACACAGTACCTGGCTTCTATCACAGAGGTTGGGATCTTCCTGCTGCTCTCAAATATCTGCAGGGCCTTTTCCACATCCCGGAGAGCCTGGGCCTGGGGCTGCCTCACAGGGGAGAAGGATGTGAGGAACCAAGGGTGGTGATGAACTTACCCTTGCTGCTCTCAGTGTGCTGTGTGGTGATTCTATTTCAGTTGTACATGTGGGATCAGGACACAGCATCCCCACTTGCAGGGGATGACACTGACACCCGGGTTCCTCTGCTTTGAGTTGTAACACACCTCAAGCTGCAACAAGTTTCTCAACTGACAACCAGACCAGATTTGGAAAAATTAAATTAAATCCTCACTTATGCCTGTGAGTTCATCACAGGACTGGGTTTCTTGTGTTATATTCAGCTACCCTGCCTCCAGCCTGTATTTCATGTAATCATGTGAGTGAGGCCTCTTCCTCTGATCCAAATGTAGGAAGGAATAATAAAGCCAAACACTTCCTTATAAATTATTGTTGTTACCCAAAATTCATCATGAACCACAGAGCGTAGAATCCACCCCCAAATCTCCTTTGAATACCCACCCTTTGGTCCCACACCCCCCAAATCTCCTTTGAATACCCACCCTTTGGTCCCACACCACAGAGATGGAGTGCTCCACCGAAAATAACCAAGATGCCTATAAAATGTCACTCCATGAAAACTGGGGACATCCTGTATTGATGGCCACCAAAACCTCTGGAGGCTTGGCAGCACACTCAGCCTTGGAGTGGCAGCAGGGTTGATAACCCCAGCGCATTTCCAGAGGGAAAGGGGTGGATGAGTGGTGCTGAATCTGAGACAGAGCAGCAGTACCTGCACGGCCTCCTCGGGGGCAGAGAGGTCCTCATAGAGCCCCATGTCCTCGATGGCCACCTGGGGAGGTCAGAGGTCACAGCCTGCAGGTGGGACAGAGGCACAGAGAGCCCCTCCCTGGGCTGTGCTGACCTGCAGGTCGGCCAGGCGGGTCCTGGCCAGGCTGATGTACTCCAGCAGCAGCGCGCGGTGCTTGCCGGGCACGCACGGCGGGAACATGATGTGCACCTGCAAGGGGACACACAGCTCTGCCAGTGCCAAAATCCCAGCTCATTCTCACTGATGGGCACCTCAAACACCTCCCAAAGGTGTTATTCCTTGGTTAAGGATAGATCATTTTCATGGCAACTGACAGAATCTTTCCCAACAACAAACAAACAAAATCAGTGAAGGGCTCAAACTTAGTTCCATTAAAGGAATTCTCCCCATCAAAAAAATCATTTTGTCCCTCCTCATTGCAGGAAGAAAAGGGTTTGAATAATGAACAGAAGTAATGCAATTGCTATGACAACATTCCTAATGAGCTGAACCTGCTGACAGGCACAAGGGCAGTGACTCTGGGGCACTTCAGGACCTAAACCCTCTCTGTCAGCACCTGCTCACCTTCAGGTACGGGGCAGCTTCAAAGGGCACCAGCTCTGACAGGAACTCCAAGAGGAAGACCAGAGATTTCTTACTGCTCCCATGATGGCCACCAGCATTCCCAAAGGAAGCCTGGATCAGGGGAACATGGCAAGAGAACCTTTCAGTGTGCAGAGAATCCTCATCCAAGCAGTGCCATAACCCAGCACACCAATTCCAAACATCCCATTTCTGTCAGGAGAACCCTTCTGGAGAGAAGTCTCCAGAGAATGTTCACAGGATCATGGAATGGTCTGGGTGGAAGGGACCTTAAAGACCATTTAGATCCAATCCCCTGCCACACCTTCCACCATCCCAGGCTGCTCCCAGCCCTGTCCAGCCTGGCCTTGGGCACTGCCAGGGATCCAGGGCAGCCACAGCACCTGTGCCAGGGCCTCACACCCTCCCAGCCAGGAATCCTGTCCCAATATCCCATCTAACCCTGATCTGTGGCAGTGGGAGCCATTCCTGTGTCCTGTCCCTCCATCCTTGTCCCAGTCCCTCTCCAGCTCTCCTGGAGCCCTTCAGGGGCTCTGAGCTCTCCCTGGAGCCCTTCAGGGGCTCTGAGCTCTCCCTGGAGCTTCTCCTCTCCAGGTGAGCCCCCCCAGGTGTCCCAGCCTGGCTCCAGAGCAGAGGGGCTCCCCTGGATCGTGGTGATTTACAGAAATCTCTGTGGAAGTCTGCTGCCATGAGAACACTCAAACAAGGCACCTCTGAGATGCACCAGAAGATTGATATTCATGAGGGAATCACAAATCTGCAGGTTTCTACACAGGTTTATCTGGGCATTCTAAGGAAAACAACCAGTCTGGGACTACAGGAACACAACCAGTTTACCTCCTGGTACCTCCTGGACACTCTATCAGCCAAAGCTGAGCTTACATTTGCAAACTCACACAAAGGAATTTCCAGGTTGAATTTGCGTGGGGATTTGCATCCCTAAAACACCCACCTGGTTAAGTTAAAAGCAACAAGCAATTATCTGTAAGGTCAAACACAGCAATTACAGCTGCATGCAAACCTCCAGGAAACAGCAATGCTTCCTCTGCCATAACCCCCAGTTTATGCAATGACAACAGTGCTGCTTATCAAGACACTGCCATCCATCCAAGGGATGATAATAACAGCAATTACATGTCTGCATTCCTAGCAAATAACTACAACAGGCCAGGTGGACCTAAAAGATGAAAGGAGGGAAAACTGGGGAAAACCAAATAAATTTATTCTTTGCAGACACAAAGGCAGTAATAAATATTCAATCATTCCTAATATCAGTACAATCCCTTGTGCTTTGCTTTTTTATTCTTCTTCCCCTTTCTCATTCCTGGCTATCCTGTCTGGGACAAGGCTCTCTCCATGCAGCAGAGCATCCCTCATGCACAGGTTGCCTGACACAATTAAAACAAAGCTCCCAGTCAGGCCAGGCCTCACTGAGTCTCACCTTGAACCACTCAGAGTAAGGCATGAAGACAGCAGGGCCCTCCAGAGCAGCCTGGCGGGCGATCAGGAAGGCAGTGATCATATTTTCCATGTCATAACTCTCAAAGGCCTTGAGCAGGAGATGGCTCAGGAGATCTAGGAACAAAGAACAATAACCTCACACTTTGCTCCTGACATCAGTGCCGGGTATTCTGCAGCAAATGAAGACAAATATCTGAGGTAAAACACGAGGCAGGACATGTACTGCAGCCTGGAGAACCTCTGGGGTCTGATCTTATTTTTTTATGCCCTTTCAACTGTCAAACACACTTGGATTCCCTGCAGGGAGTCCAGCACTGGGATAATTAGTAAGGAATTCTCACAAACAAGCTCTGCCAGCAAAGGTGAGCTGGAACTAAGGTTCAGTAACCACCATGCCAATTAACGATGAAGGTAATTACCAAACCACCACCCTGGGCTGTACACAGAGCTAGAGAAGTGGCAGGCACGAGGCCTGGCACTGCCATCCCCACAGACACGGGGAGCCTGATGGAAAAGCAGATGTGCTGTGCTGCTGCTCTTTGCCATGCAGGAGCCCTGTGCTGCCCCCCAGCAGCAGGGGCACACCCAGGCTGGCAGTGCCCACCTACCCTTGAAGAGCTGCCCAGCCTCAGCCTGGCACACCACCAGCGTGGACACACAGGACAGCACGTGCTGCCAGTTCACCTCGTGGGTCTCCAGCACCTGCTGCAGCTGGCACACGGCCTCCTTCACACTGAATGCCACCAGCAGCTGCAGGGAGGGAAATTCCTGTTAGCTGGGACACACAGCCACAAGAAACAGGGGAGTACACACAAGGCTGACAGGCTTTTCTCTGACTTTATCAAACTATCCTGCAGCTTTTGGATCAGCTTCCCAGGCCCAAGTGTCAGCCTGGACTGGAACCAGCATCAGCTACAATAAACAGTAAAATTCCCATTCTCTCAGAGCTCATGTCTTACTCTGTACCAGCGAAAATTCACATCTCTGCATTCACTGCAGCAGTGAAAATTCACATCTCCACATTCACTGCAGCAGTGCAAATTCACATCTCCACATTCACTGCAGCAGTGCAAATTCACATCTCCAATCAGCATCTTTGCTCTCATTAACTGCTTTGCACTAGCAAAAAACACTCTTGTTCTTTTCCTTCATGCTTCCTCCCCCCAGAGATTCTGGTGATTGGTTTGGATGCTGCAACTGGACAATGCTGCACTAATTCCCAATAACCTGATGTCAGGTTTTGCAGTGGAAACAAACCCAGCACAACACAGTTCTCTGGGTGCCACCAGGCAGAGGTACCTTGCAATACAGAGCCGTGAGCAGCGGAGAGGTCCTGGTAAAGCTCCACTCCTTCTGCATCTGGATGGCATCAGACACTGCACCCACAGAAAGAAAACCCCAGCAGCAGGTTTTACAACACGCCCAAAACACACAGATTTCCCTTTAAACACTGCCCAGTGGAATTCTGTCTCCCATCAGTGTGTGGCACAGGGACTGGGCCATTCCTCCATGGCTCTGTCACCCCAGAGCTGCTTTGTGATCCCCCCTGCGTGGGCTGACATGGCCCATGCACAGAGAAGCAGCAAGGAATCAGCTTTCCCCTCATTAACCTCTCTCATCCGGGAGCCAGCAATGACACAGCTCTCCCACACAGCAGACGAGCAGCTCCAGACCACAGCTCCTGGGGACTGCACCGCAGATTTCACAGCTCAAACAGATTCCTCCCCAAAAACATCAAGCTTCACAATCACTGATCCAGGATTAGAACCTTCCTGCCCAAAATCTTCTCCTGAATTATGACCCTCAGGTGATATATTTTGCCTGATTTGGCACCCTGCTTATACAGACCCCAGGAAGGAGCTGGGAAGCCTGGAGGCTGCTCTGGCTCTGGATCCTCCACTCACTGTGGGACAGAGCTGTGGACACACCTGGAGACCCCTGTCCCTGGCCATTCCCACCTTTCAGCACGGGGTTGTAGGTGAGAACCTCGGTCAGGGTGTGTCTGAAAAATTGCCTCAAGGAATCCGGGTGAGCCACACTTCCATAGAGGGGCACGTGGAACACATTGAGCCTGCAAGGACAAGGAGATACCAGAAACAGTGTCAGCCAGGTGATCAGCCAGGTACTGATTCATTATGATCAGCAAGGTACTGATAATATCATTATGATCAGCCAGGTACTGATTCATTATGATCAGCCAGGTACTGATAATTTATGATCCACCAGCTGCTGATGAAATAGGAACAGCCAGCTGCAGCTTAGGGGGGATTACTGATTTTTATTCTATATCGTCTCAAATTGCCACACATATATATTTTTTTGATATATATTTAAAAAACCAAAACAATGAATGGTTACTCAGCACTCTGTAGCCATCAGATTAAATGTGAGTCTGAGGGCTATCCCTGCACAGGGCTGAAGGTGACATGAACAGTTAAACAAAACAAGTTTGGAAGCAGGAATTGGAGGTGATTTCACCTTCCAGGTGTTTCTGCTCAGAAGCAGTGAGGAAACCTGATGGGGAATTTCTGGCATGACAAGAGGGAGGTCCAGGGTTGGCTCCAGCACTGCCAGAATCCACTTTCCTTCCTGGCCCTTATCTTTTTTACAAGCACTTTTGTCTGCACATATTTTATTAGAGGAGAACACCAAGCACAAATAGCACTGGGAGAGCTGGGGGTGTGTGTAAATAAGTCAAAAACACCCCACACCATTGCTCCTATTTCAGTAAGAAGTGCAACAGTGGATAAAAACCCACTCCTGACACGGTTTGGAACGTTTCTTACCAGAACCTCACAGCTTGCACCATGGAAACATCTTCCTGCTTCTCTTTACCAACAGCATCAAGCACCCCTGGACCCCAAAACACACAAAAACCCAATGAGAAAAGAACTGTGACAGAAAGAACTGTGTAAACCCCACATGGGAATTAACAGGAATCAGCAATTTGTGCCCCTTTGCAAAGGTGGCCCCATAGGGAAATGTGCAGAAGCCGCTCAGCAGTGCTGAATTCTTCCCAGATTTTCTCCAAAGTGACACAGGGACTCAGAAACTATTACCACTGCCCTTGAACCAATTAAAAACCTTTCCCAAGAACATGCTAATAATGAAGCCATCTAAAAACGCCTGTAAATCAGGGTTTCATTCCCAAACCCAGCCCCAGTGAGTGTGAGCACAGCACACAGCCCGTCTGGGATTTGCACAAGCTGCATTAAGCACCCTGCAAAGCCCGGTCCAGACAAAGGGCAGGCTGGGGGGGAGGGCCACGCGTTTGAAATGTGCCATTTGCATGGCAGGAATTCCTTTAAAAGCTCCATCTGCCCCGAAAGGACGGGCGGAGATCAGCCAGGTTGGCAGCGTTGTCTTGGCGATGCTCAGCCCACACCTCCCAGCCCACAGCCTGGGAAAGCCTTTGCTTTGCAGCCTGCTGCAGCAGCACTGCTGCTTTGTGCCACCCCGCCTTGAAAACCCTCCTCTTTCCTTGCTAAAGGAGCTTGGTTCGTGTATCCAAATCATTTTGTCAAGGAAAAAAACCCTGACAAGGAAATTTCCTGAGCAGGGGCAGCGAACCAGATGTCCCTCACGTGCCACCAGGGCTTTAGGATGTAACACTCTCCTCTCCTGCTGAGGAATACTCTAAGGTTAAGTAGGGGAGAATAAAGCAAAGGAGATAAACTCAGCTTATCTTCAGGCACAGCAGCTCAGCCCTGCCAGATCACTGCAGCGAGCACATTGCTCCCTTGCTACTGCCAGCCTGTCCTTCTCCCCCTGGGAAGGTCTTCACTAATAGGGAATTCTTTTACATTAAAAATCCTGATGTTCTCCAGAGATTAATGAAGTGGGACCCCTCAGAGGTGACCCCAAAGTATGGACTAATAAAATATCTTACATAAACCTGCTGGAATGCATTTTGCAGGCAGGCAGGCTGCGCAAACGGGAAGGGCAAATGAAGAGCAGGATGCAGACTCCTGTCTGCCTGCCAACAGCCTGCTCCTCCTCCTCCTCCTCCAAAATCACTACTCCTCTGCTCACAAGGGCTGGCTTTCAACTCTTAAAGGGCCACCTGAGATGGGATTCATGCATATTAAATAATGAAGCGCTTCTCTTGCAGCTTTTTAGAAGAACTCACAAGGTCTGTGAGCACCTCAGTGTACAGACTGTGCTCCCTGTGGCACCTGGGGCAGGGGATGGGGCTGACAGTGCCCACGGGGGTGGAGGGAGGTGCCCTGGCCTGGCTGGGGTCACCTACAGCAGAGACAGCAGCACGAGCAGGAAAGGAGGCAGCAGGGAAAGCAGGAATCGCTGTCACTAAGGACACAGCAGTGACAGCAGCTGCACACAGGTGACACCAGCCAGGGGTGTGTAAGGAACAGGACAGCAGAGCTACAGCATCTCCCCGTGAGGATCAGCTGTGACACAGGACTAAAATAACCCCATGTGAGTGTGTTTAGCCCTCCTGCACCAGGATTTGCTGGTAAATCAGGAGCTGCTGCCAGGCTGAGCCCTCAGCAGAGGCACCAGGGCAGCTCAGGCCAGGGCAGGCACGTTGCAGTTCATGAGCACTGGTGTTTAAGGACTCCACACCTACACCAGATGTCTTGGCTCAGCACAAAAATAGAGGTTTCAGGAAACATTGGTCTGCAAATCCAAACGGTGAGTCAGCAAAAGGCAACTCAGAGTCTAATTTACTAGGCAGGAAAAAAAAAAAAAAATCCAAGCAGCAAAGCTGATCCTGGCCTAACCTCTGTGCTCCACCTGCTTCCAAAAACCTGTTAAAAATCAGGAAATCAGGTCAGGTATCTATATCATGTTACAGTTGGGAGCAGAAAAACAAAGTAGCATAAAAGGCAAGAAATTATCTGCAGTGTCTGGAGACACTTCAGGAGAACGACAGGGAAAGCAGAGGCAAATAAAATCAGTGACATAAATATTATGCACAACAGCACAGACAAAGCAGCCAAGCAAAGGATTTCTCCTCAGGGATTCAGCAGTGAGCAAGGAATGGAAGTCTTGGAGGCAGCAGTGGCTGCACAAAGCTGGGACCACAGCAATACTCACATGCCAGCATCCTCTGTAAGACAGCACGGCAGATCTGTTCAAAATTGACAAATTAATGGATTTAGGGTTTCAAAGGGCTGGAGTTCAATGCAGAAAAAGTAAATTGACTCCAAGAGTTTTGACCTTAGGCTGTGCAACAGAACAGATAAAATAGACAGAAGGGCAGCACTTTCCAACCTTACAGCATTCCATGTCTCATATTCAAATGGAACACCCAAGCAATCCAGGTGAAAGGAAGCTAAAAAACCCCTTGATGTGCCACCTTGGAGCAATTCTCCATAGAAAAATTCTGGTTTCACCATTTCCCCCACTCCTGCACCTGTACCAGCACCCTCCCCTTGCAGCTCCAAGCCCTGAATTGTTTGTACTCAGCAAGAGCCAGAGATCAATGGCATTGCTTTATTGAAGCACCATTTGCAGCCAGGTTCATTTGTCCTTACGTAGGCAACCTTCTGGAATTCCACCTTCCTTCCCAGCTCCGAGGGCTGCTCAAAGCCGTGCTGAACAAACACGATGGCAAAGTCTGCAAACCAAGACAAAAATTGGTGTTCCAGCATTCCCTCTGCACACAGGTCACCTGCTCCTTCCCCTCCCACCTGTCCCAACAGTCCCCACCAACAGCAATCATTTATTGTCCTGGAATCAAATCATTCCCAGGAGAAAGAATCCAGAACTTCAACGATTTTAAAGCCTAAAGAATTTGCAGTTGTGCTCCACGGCCTCTGCAGAACTGTACTTCACCAGCTGCACTGGCCCACACTCAGACACTGCAGGGATTTTTTCCTAACTAAGAAAATAAATAATAGAAATGGACAGGGGGGAAACGGAACTCTGAAATATTTCTGGCCCAGAATCTCTCCGTGGCTTTGCAGTGTCACAGTGCCAGTGTGCCATCCCTGAACCACACCCCTCATAATTACACTTTCTTGAGTTACCTTAACTCTAAGGAATGCAAAAATTCAAATCAATAATTTTTTAAAGGGAGAAAATTCGCTAAATTTGTTAAACATATACAAAATATATTCCCCAGAGAAATGAGGTGAGGAAACACAAAGAGGCCTGCATGGTTCCACCTCTGAGTTCCTGCCCTGCTCCCAGCCCAGGGCCTTGCCTGAGAGAATCCTCTGTGCCAGCTCCGTGTCCCCATGGGAGGTGTCCCCAAGGGAGGTGTCCCCAGCCTGCTCAAAGAGGCCACAGAGGCTGCTGCAGAGCCACTCCACTGCTGCTGGGCCTGCTGGGCTCCTGCAACACAAAAGCACCTTCAGTTCAACCCCTCCTGCTTTCTGTAAGGCTTGGCTGTCTCCACCTGTGCCCTCTGCCCTAAACGTGCCACTTCCTTTATTTAATTTGGACCAGCACATTTGCTTTACAGTTGCTTTTTTATATTATTTGCTTTATAAAAAGGTCCCACAACACACACATGCAAAGGAAAAATGTGGGTGAAATTGTGCATCCAATATTTCCCCATCCCTGACATGAATGTTTCCATTAGGAAACCTCTGCTAGAAGAATTTCAGATCCAATTTCTAAGACACTCAAAATTTCTTCAAAAAAGAAATTAAATTCTTAATCTATGCCTTTGATTCCCTTGAATTGCTTTCATTGTGAACCAATATCAGAACCTAGAAAATCACTGGGACACAATAAGGAGACAACCTGAACTCCACAAATGGGGGAGTTGTTAGCTCTGGATCATGGAATAATGGAATGGTTTGGCCTCAGAGGGACCTTAATGCTCATCTTGCTTCACCCCATGCTTGGGCAGGGACGCCTTTCACTAGAGCACGTTGCTCCAAGCCCTGTCCAAATTGGTCTTGGGCATTTGTTGGGGGGAAAACCCAAAATTCTAAGACTAACAATTCTCTGGAGATTAACTCTGCCAGACCAAAAAAGTGTAAGATTTTGTGAAGACGGAATCACCCACTTTCTGCAGAGCAAGACTTTCTCAAATCCAGTTGGTGGCCAGCAAGGAGCCCCTGCCCTGACCTGGGCTCATCACCCCAGAGTAACCCCCCAGGCCCAGAGCAGCTCCTAAATCCTGCTAATCTGATCCCTGGGCAGCACCTGACCATATCCTCCCTCCAGAATACTCATGACTAATCCCAGATTATGACCCAAGAGGCTTTGGGGGATCTGCAGCCCCCAGGGCCCTGCTCACCTGTCCAGCAGCTCTGGCAGGCCCACGATGTCACAGCTGTGCAGGTGCCACACGGCCTCCAGCACCAGGGGCTCCTGAGGACACAGCAGCAGCAGGTCACAGCCTGCTCTGGCCACTCAGCATTTGGTTATTGCACACGGTTCACGAGAAATAAAGCTCAATTCTGCTTATTCCAACCACCCAGCATTAAAACTGACAACACAGCAAATGCCTGGTGATGAGAGATTGTATTTTCTAGAAGTTTTGGGTGGTTTAGGGTTGTAGATGCATCATCATTTTAAATTTTCGTGGACAAGTAATGAATATATTCATCTTTCCCCTCTGGAATAACGCTGGTCCTGCAGATTTAAAGGAGCAGGGATACCCCAGGAAACAGGTAACATGACTCAGGTTCAGGTTTTGTTAATGCAGATCCAGATCCAGATTAGAGAATTGTCTTTTAGTCTATTAACTGTTGATTAGTCCCTGTGGAACAAGGTTGCCACTCACAAGTCCATACCCCAACGGAGCTGGGATTGCAGGAGACTACAGGGAGAGACTCTGCAATCATGCAGGTGGAAAGGCTGATGGACACAAAGGGAAAATGAACAAAAATCTGCACCAGGCATTGCCCCTGTGTGATGCACTTGGTGCCCTGTAAATCCCTTCAGCTCCTGCCCACGTCCAGGGGAGCCCTGAGCCAGCAAAGCAGCCCTGCAGGGAGCACCTGGCAGGGGAAAGGTGCAGCAGCTTCTGATCATTGCAGGCACAACCAACACCTGCACAAAACCTCCCCACCCTGAGAGGGAAGAGGCATTTGGGAGCCTTGGGCACAGGGAAAAGCCCCAGGAGCTCTGTGCCATGACCAGCAGCTGCCTCACACCCTGACCCCAAACTCACACACATTCTTTGTCTTCACAACCTAATTCTCACTGTAACACCCTCAGCTACAGTTATCTCTGCCTTATCCCATGTCTGCCCCAGCAGCAGGAGATGCTAATCAGCCTGTGAAACACACAGTTCTATTTTCAGCTCAGCAGAGGATATCTGAGACCAGGGCACAGCCCTTTATCTGGGCAGATCAGCCTTTCCTCCTTTCCCATGGGAGCAGGGTGGAATCAGAGCCCTCCCACTCATAAAAAGCCCTTGACTCCACTCACAGCACCTCTTGTCTCCACAAAATACACCAAATGAAATCAAGACATCCCATCTGTCAGGCAGCACAAGCTGTTATCTGCTATCTGGTTTCTTTCTCTGTGACCTCACTTTGCCTTATCACCATTCCCAGGTAAACAAAGCAGAGATCCAGGATGCCAAAGACACCTGGAATATTGCTGGCAGAGCACATGAGGGGCTCTGGGACTGTGTCACCCCACTGGCAGCTGGGGGTTTCTGCACAGGACCCCAAGAACAGCACTTGACCACCACAGTGCTGTCAGTGACCTTTTGTGGCAGTTTCCAATAATTCAAACCATTCCAAACCTCCACGGAGCTGAAAAAGCAAATCCCACTGCAGACACAAGGAAGTTCCCACTGAAGTTGCTCTAAAATAAACAGAACAAGTAAAAAAAACCCACCACGTGTAACTCAGCTCATGCTTTTGGGAGGTAAGGAAAACCAGTCATTCCCAGGAATTCAGAAATGCCACATCCCATGGGTGAACCCTCATGGTGTGTAACACCACAGTGCTCCTCCATGAGCTCTCACCTTCATTTTCCACATTTCCTGGCAGAAGAGGGAGCGACAGAACATGTTGTTTGCCAGCAGATCCTTCACAGTCTGAAGCAAGCAGCTCAATCTCTTCTGGCATCGCCCCGGAAACGAAGCAGAAATAATTCCCTTTGTGAATAACACACTCTCAAAAAAGCAATTTGCCCTATTTGCTGCTCTTCAAAGGGTCAAATGATGGAGGGAATTCAGGGGAAAGGCCTAAACTTCACTTCTTATTTATCTTGTACTTCTGCAAGCAAATCGAGCACCTCGGTGAATGAGTGTCCACTCATGTTTGGGGCTGAATCAGAGCAGGCAAACTGGGCCTAAAGTGAAAGCTAGCAGTGCTGTTTTGCTGCTAAATTAAAGATAAACCTTACTCTCTGGTCGGAGTCCAGCAGTGGGACTCTGGAGGGGCTGGCAGGATCCTGGCAGATCTGCTCCATGTTGGCAATGGCATTTTTGGCTGCCAAGGTCGCTGTGGGCACACCCAGCTTTGAGGCCTGCTCCTGCAGAACAGAGACTAAACAGCAAGGCACAAGGCTGTCATCACCAGGCAAGCAAGAAACAGGACCAAAACAATGAAAAGAAAGCAGAACTGGGGTTGCACATAAAGGCAAAAATTGAATATTGAGGAGGGTTCCAGTCCACATCTGGCCTGGGAGGTGCTCACCTAGAAATGATTCTGGTGACACTCCCTGGTGCTCTGCCCCATCTTGCACACCTGGCTTGGCTGAATCTCCCACCTGCAAACCAAATAAAACCCTTGTGTGTGTGTCACACACATTTACAAACCCATCCCTGCACTGCTGGAGAAACTGACGTGAAATTAACACGGAGCTCCCACATGGAAAAGCACAGATTTCACCTCACCGGAGATGTGTGTTTAGTTATTGTCAGTTTATTCATAAAAAAGGAGATACAGGTCAAAATTCCTCATCCTCAGGGACCAAACAGCTCAGCAGCAGCACCAGGAGCAGAATTTCTATAATCCTTATCTTTCTGTGAAGCCACGTGGCCATAAATATTTGATGAAACATGTCCAAATGTTGGATCATTTTCTA